GAGAAATGGGGCTTAACGTTCACTTGACTCAGGCTAGGTCATTTCGGGACTAACATATGGTTCAATTATATTTCAATAATACGCTTGCGCGTAGGGGTCTTTAGCAGTGGGTACAACCGGGGATTCGAAACCACGTCAGTTGACTTAATGACAGGCCTTATGATACAGCGCGCGAACATGCTAACCATTCGGCCACTCCCCCCCCCCCCCAAGTTGATTTAATTATGGACTTGTCATTTGAATAAATGTCTAAGAATTTATAAAACATTTTAAGTGAGAAAAAAAGAACCGCAATATGCGGATTTAGCTCTTTAAATAGTTTAATACAGCTTTGTGTTTAACAAATGTTTTCAAGGATTGTTTTCACATTAATCTGTTTTTACAGATGTTGGGCCTTGATAAATACCTGATGGAATGGATATATAACCATCTGGAGCATTACAAAGTCTGTCCATAAGGAGCATTACGGACAGATGGGTGGTGTGATTGAACTAATCCAAATCAGCAAACTATTGAAGATATAGATATTGAAGGAAAATCTCTAGAATTAAGGGAGTTGTTACGAATAAAATTATTACAAACTCCGAAACTTTGTTGCGGATATGTATTAAAATATCAAAAATGGAAATATAGATAAATCTGTTCAATTCAATTCTTTTATTTCTTTAAGTCTACTGACTCATCAGATAACATATATACACAATAATTATAGTTACATATATACATGACAGGTAAATACAAACAGACAAAGGTATGGGGGTGGGGTGTAGATAAATTGCGTTAATTTGCTAGCCTAAATAGGATACAAAAATTGTAACATGACGGAAAGAATCAGTAAATATTATAAACTTCATAAAATCATCCATTAATTTATTTTTCTTTCCAATCTTCTGAAATTAGCTAGATTACTACTAGACATGACGGAAAGAATCAGTAAATATTATAAACTTCATAAAATCATCCATTAATTTATTTTTCTTTCCAATCTTCTGAAATTAGCTAGATTACTACTAGACATGACAATGTAGGGATCGATCACCCGACCTCGAGGCTAGCGAGTCAGCGTCTTACCCACTTCAGAGCTAATACAACCAACTGACATCCATATACCTATGTAATTTATTGTTCATTATTTTCCGTGTGGTTCAGCCTTGTCAGTGGTGCGGGACAGATGGCCTGGCAAGGAACAGTGTCTAGGCATTCGGATGATACGGAAAACAGATGTCCCTTGTACACATTGGCATGCCCGTCAAAGTATGCCCTTCTTCGTTTGCCCGGATTGTGAAGAAAAGTAAGACGTAAATCCAATCTCATTTTTTTTTTTTTTACTCAAGTTATTGTAATACTATGGTCCTTGCGATCATATTGTATCTTTAACTACACTTTCTATAGAGTCAAATAACACCTACTTAATGAATTGAGTGATGTATTTACATATAAAAAACAGGGATATTTTGGTAAAATCCTTACCATTGTCAAAATATCCATCAAATTCTATCTTGTTTATGATGGGTTTGGTAGACCAAATAAGGTAATGTTCTCCCCCCCCCCCCCACCCGCCCTTTTGAGAATGGGGATGTTTACATTGTAATTCATATTTGGGAAGGACATGAACGCCAAGGTCAGTTTATGACGTACAGAAATAAGGGAGTTATAAAAGAGGGTGTTGCGTGAAATTGAACAGAGCTCACCCAGATATTCCGAGCAGCTATCATCTATACTTTATTGAGAACGTCAAGCCAAACAGTTTAATAATAAAGTTGTAGAAACGAACTAACATGTAGTTTTATTTACGATCACAAAGGAAACACAACAAGGAAGACCGATATTACTACATTTTTCTGAATTGTTATTTCAGATATATAGTCTTTTGTGTGGATTATGTGGATATAGACGAAACTAGTCTGCTGGAGGAACTGAGTATAATATTAACAATTTTATATTTTTTGTTTATAAACCTGTCTGTTTCACCTGCAATTGGGTGGCTGAATGGTCTAACATATCCACTTTAGATCATCATGTGAGCCACGGTGGGTAAGTGGGGAAGATGCTGGCTTGCTAGCCTGGAGGTCGCATGTTTGATCCCTGCATTGGCCGAGAAAGTTCATAGGGATTTTCCGACGTAGTTTACCCTTGTCAGTGTTGCTGGACGAAGTACTTGACAAGGGCAGCTGTCTAGTCGTCCGGATTAGACGAAAAACCAAGATCTCGTGTATACATTGGCGTGCACGTAAAAGATCCCTTGGCAGTTGGAATTTGATATAAGAATAGGCCATAGTGCCGCTGCTCATGCAAAATTTCCCTCATAGCCCACTGTATGACATTATGCCGGTCTTCATTTCATTGGCACTGAGTCAGTGGTGTAGTTTCGATCTCACACAAAGTAGGATCGTCTGTCCAACCTCCCACTGCAAAAGACCCATACATGTCATGTAACCATATGTTTAAAATGTTAGTCCCAAAATGACATAATTTCTCTCTCATTTGCAATTGATGAGAAAACATACTTCTGTTCAACTTCAATTCTTTAAGGATTATTAATCAACACAAAATTTTAGTGCATTTAACAATATCTATTTTTTGGTGTAATTATATTATTATCTTTATGTTAGGTCTGTACTGGAAGAAATGGCTATTCCAGAAGATAACCATGAACAAGGAAAAGAAGAGGGCAAGGAGAATGAAGAAGAGAGAGAGATGGGGTTTAACTTCAACTTGACACAAACTAGGTCAATTTGGGACTAACACATGGTTCAATTTTATTTCAATAATTCACTTGCGGGTAGGAATCTTTAACAGTGGGAGGAAAGTGTAGGACCCGGCGACACACTGCAGGTCCCTTACGGTTCCCTCAAACTGCTAAAGAATCCTATGCGCAAGCGAATTATTGAAATAAAATTGAACCATTGACCTAGTTTGTGTCAAGTTGAAGTTAAACCCCATCTCTCTCTCTTCTTTACTAACCACCTTAGTTTTTATTGAGAATTTACACCCCCCGGTTACATTGACACAAACTAGGTCAATGGTTCAATTTTATTTCAATAATTCGCTTGCGCGTAGGATTCTTTAGCAGTTTGAGGGAACCGTAAGGGACCTGCAGTGTGTCGCCGGGTCCTACACTTTCCTCCCACTGTTAAAGATTCCTACCCGCAAGTGAATTATTGAAATAAAATTGAACCATGTGTTAGTCCCAAATTGACCTAGTTTGTGTCAAGTTGAAGTTAAACCCCATCTCTCTCTCTTCTTCACTCTCCTTGCCCTCTTCTTTTCCTTGTTCATGGTTATCTTCTGGAATAACGATTTATTCAGGTACAGACCTAACATAAAGATAATAATATAATTACACCACAAAATAGATATTGTTAAAGATGGGTTCCCAGAAAAGTATTTATTGGGAGGTTATTTCCAATAAAAGTATGGCAATTTTGGTATATATGGAAAGTAGAGATATCAAATCTTACTAGAAAAATACTGGATTCCCTGAAAAACACTCATGGAGCGTATACAGGACAAAAATGTAAGGGTTCCCCTAATCAACAGCCCGACGATTAGGAACTTCTGCACGCGTGATGTCAAAGGTCACGAGCGAACATTGAGCGCTTGATGTACATGTACAAGTTGATAAACTTTATGAAGAGTTAGACGTACAATACTTTCTGAGATAAAAATGACGGAAAAAGACGCGGGTAGTGGATAATCCGAGAATTTAATTAGGATTCGATATTTATAATAAATAGTAAGTGATTAAAGACAGCGTCGTCTTATGTATGCAATGAATTCTCCTCTGACTCCCAAGACTTGACGTAAACATGACCTGGTTTGATCAAATTTTAATAGCAAGGCATTCCTTCGCAATTACAATGTTTGAGAAGGATTTGAAGCATAATTATGACAAATTAATTACTTTGAATATGTTTTTGGTCCATATATACCATTAAAAAACCCAGTTTGTACGCGGGAACCGATCTTTAAATGCACTAAAATTATGTGTTGCTTAATAATTCAAAATGATGTTTCTGTACATACCAAGGACTTTCTTATGCTATGTTGAGGGATATTCAGTCATCACAAATTATTTAAAAACCAGAAGGTGTGACTGTGTGGAGCTCGCTTCACTTTCTCAACAGTTAATGAGAAATCCAGATAGATATACCATATGTAGAAATTCCTATAAAACAATTATGGTAAAAAGTTGGGAAAAGTTGAAAGTTGCTGTAAAGCTAGTTTGTGATCAAAGGGGGAATAACCAGAGCATGTGATAATATGTTTTTAAGTTAAACATACATTGTGGGAGATTCAACAACGAGTTGGCAGTTCTCACTATAATAGTTAAAAACTAGATAATGTAAAGGCAATTTGCTGAAAATTTCATTCAAATTGATCCACTATGAACCGAGAACTAAGCGGTTGAAATTTCTGCCTAGCCTCGATCATCATTACTAAAGTCAGTACGATAAACAGCATAGTCTCGATTATCCATTTAATCGTTTAATCGTGAAGGAAAGTTATGCAGTAAATCGGCTCATAATCCACTAAAGATCGCAGGATGGCGATGCCATCTAGAGTTGATTAGCTCTTTAAATAGTTTAATACAGCTTTGTGTTTAACAAATGTTTTCAAGGATTGTTTTCACATAAATCTGTTTTTAAAGATGTTGGGCCTTGATAAATACCTGATGGAATGGATATATAACCATCTGGAGCATTACAAAGTCTGTCCATAAGGAGCATTACGGACAGATGGGTGGTGTGATTGAACTAATCCAAATCAGCAAACTATTGAAGATATAGATATTGAAGGAAAATCTCTAGAATTAAGGGAGTTGTTACGAATAAAATTATTACAAACTCCGAAACTTTGTTGCGGATATGTATTAAAATATCAAAAACGGAAATATAGATAAATCTGTTCAATTCAATTCTTTTATTTCTTTAAGTCTACTGACTCATCAGATAACATATATACACAATAATTATAGTTACATATATACATGACAGGTAAATACAAACAGATAAATTGCGTTAATTTGCTAGCCTAAATAGGATACAAAAATTGTAACATGACGGAAAGAATCAGTAAATATTATAAACTTCATAAAATCATCCGTTAATTTATTTTTCTTTCCAATCTTCTGAAATTAGCTAGATTACTACTAGACATGACATGCACCAGTGGAATTGTGTCTGACATTGTATGTGACAGGGAGCCACTGTGGCTCAGTGAGTAAGACACTGGCTTGTTAACCAGGGCCCGATTCCTAGAAAATTCTTAAGCACGTTCTTGTGCTTAGATTTAAGTAGACTTTGCATTTAAGTAAACTTACCTTATTTTGTGTTCCCAGACAATTCTTAAAAACGTTCTTGTGCTAAGATTTTAAGTAGACTTCATTGTAAGCACAAGAACGTTATTATGCGTTCCAAGAAAAAACTTAAGCACAACTTCGTTCTTAAACATAGTCAATCTAAGCACAAGTCCCAAGCAAGGTATACGGCTTGCTTACCAACCTTAAGTCTGTTTCTGCTACAAAAAGATGGCTGACCGTAGAGTTTTTCGACGGCATTTCCGACACCTTTTGATACCAAACAGACAATTATTACAAGACAGAGAAAATCCTTCTCCAGAAGAAATTAAGAATGCTATAGAAAATTTCGCTTCTACCCTGAAACCATTTTATTTATTTGCCAATTAGTAAACAATAGGCTACAAACACACGGGCTACTTTAAGATCAGGCGCTCTCACAATTATTCATTTAGTTTGTATGTGTCTGTGTTTTTTATTTTGTGGCACATTTTATATGTGTATAGGGGACATGTCAAATGCATCTAAATCAACCGTATATTATATATGACGTCAATGAAGCAGACGATAAATTTATGACGTAATTCGCATACCAAAGTTGTTTTTATGACGTTAAAGAGCATCGTAATCTCAGTTTATGGTAAACTTTACCAGTCACAATGTGCTTGGACTTATACTTGACTTGTGCTTACGTAAGAATGGTCTAGGGACGGTATTAAGTTTCTTACGTAAGAAAAAGTGAAGCACATGACGTTGTGCTTACTTTAAGAATTTTCTAGGAACCGGGCCCAGGTCTTGGATTCGATCAGCATCTAGTTGTTCGGGTGGAACAAAAAACTTGGCATGCACATAAAAGAACGCTCGGCAGATGGAATTCGAAATAAGAATAGCGCCGCTGTCTGGGCAAAATTTAGCTCATAGCACGCTATATGGCGTATGTCCGTCTTCATTAGCCCAGTTGGTGCAGAAAAATAGGATCTTAAACCCCATTTCATTCCATTTTGATTTATTTCCCGTTTTTTTAAATCGTGTTTAGTTATCGTCATATTAAATAAAATATGTTGTTACAAGGTTTTGACCTTCTTTTCGTTATCAAGCACATTATTGTTAACATTAGGAAAAATGTTATTTATACTTTAATTTTAATGCAAAATGTATTGTTTCATAATGATGGAGAAAATTATCATGGAAACAAAATGAAATGAAATGGGGTTTAACGTCCTACTGTTTTGCTCCGAACTGGGCTAATGAAGACGGGCATACACCAAACAGTGTGCTATGAGGGAAATTTTGCCCGGACAGCGGCACTACGGCCTGCTCTTATATCGAATTCCAACTGTCAAGGGATCTTTTACGTACACACCAATATGTACACGGGACCTCGGTTTTTCGTCCCATCCGAACGACTAGACAGCTGTCCTTGTCAGGCCCTCCGTCCTGCATCACTGACAAGGGGGAATCTGGATGAACTTTCTCGGCCAATGCAGGGATCGATCACCCGACCTCGAGGCTAGCGAGTCAGCGTCTTACCCACTTCAGAGCTAATACAACCAACTGACATCCATATAGCTATGTAATTTATTGTTCATTATTTTCCGTGTGGTTCAGCCTTGTCAGTGGTGCGGGACAGATGGCCTGGCAAGGAACAGTGTCTAGGCATTCGGATGAGACGGAAAACAGATGTCCCGTGTACACATTGGCATGCCCGTCAAAGTATGCCCTTCTTCGTTTGCCCGGATTGTGAAGAAAAGTAAGACGTAAATCCAATCTCATTTTTTTTTTTTCTTACTCAAGTTATTGTAATACTATGGTCCTTGCGATCATATTGTATCTTTAACTACACTTTCTGTAGAGTCAAATAACACCTACTTTAATAGAACACAATTTTTATGGGAAACAATCACTGGTTTATTCTAAAAGCACGACGTTTCGACAAGTATCCTCTTATCGTTATCAAGCACGTGCTTGATAACGATAAGAGGATACTTGTCGAAACGTCGTGCTTTTAGAACAAGTTGAAGTTAAACCCCATCTCTCTCTCTTCTTCACTCTCCTCGCCCTCTTCTTTTCCTTGTTCATGGTTGTCTTCTGGAATAGCCATTTCTTCTGGAATAACGATTTATTCAGGTACAGACCTAACATAAAGATAATAATATAATTACACCACAAAATAGATATTGTTAAAGATGGGTTCCCAGAAAAGTATTTATTGGGTGGTTATTTCCAATAAAAGTATGGCAATTTTGGTATATATGGAAAGTAGAGATATCAAATCTTACTAGAAAAATACTGGATTCCCCGAAAAATACTCATGAAGCGTATACAGGACAAAAATGTAAGGGTTCCCCTAATCAACAGTCCGACGATTAGGAACTTCTGCACGCGTGATGTCAAAGGTCACGAGCGAACATTGAGCGCTTGATGTACAAGTTGATAAACTTTATGAAGAGTTAGACGTACAATACTTTCTGACATAAAAATGACGGAAAAAGACGCGGGTAGTGGATAATCCGAGAACTTAATTAGGATTCGATATTTATAATAAATAGTAAGTGATTAAAGACAGCGTCGTCTTATGTATGCAATGAATTCTCCTCTGACTCCCAAGACTTGACGTAAACATGACCTGGTTTGATCAAATTTTAATAGCAAGGCATTCCTTCGCAATTACAATGTTTGAGAAGGATTTGAAGCATAATTATGACAAATTAATTAGTTTGAATATGTTTTTGGTCCATATATACCATTAAAAAACCCAGTTTGTACGCGGGAACCGATCTTTAAATGCACTAAAATTATGTGTTGCTTAATAATTCAAAATGATGTTTCTGTACATACCAAGGACTTTCTTATGCTATTTTGAGGGATATTCAGTCATCACAAATTATTTAAAAACCAGAAGGTGTGACTGTGGGGAGCTCGCTTCACTTTCTCAACAGTTAATGAGAAATCCAGATAGATATACCATATGTAGAAATTCCTATAAAACAATTATGGTAAAAAGTTGGGAAAAGTTGAAAGTTGCTGTAAAGCTAGTTTGTGATCAAAGGGGGAATAACCAGAGCATGTGATACTATGTTTTTAAGTTAAACATACATTGTGGGAGATTCAACAACGAGTTGGCAGTTCTCACTATAATAGTTCAAAACTAAATAATGTAAAGGCAATTTGCTGAAAATTTCATTCAAATTGATCCACTATGAACCGAGAACTAAGCGGTTGAAATTTCTGCCTAGCCTTGATCATCATTACTAAAGTCAGTATGATAAACAGCATAGTCTCGATTATCCATTTAATCGTTAAATCGTGAAGGAAAGTTATGCAGTAAATCGGCTCATAATCCACTAAAGATCGCAGGATGGCGATGCCATCTAGAGTTGATTATGGTCTGGATAGGTTAATTAATGTCTAATTAATAATTTAGATAACATTTCAGGCCTAAAGAAAGACCTCCAATAGACAGATTTAAAGATACATTATACAAGAGCTAAATCTGTCTATTGGAGGTTTTTCTGTAGGCCTGAAATGTTATCTAAATTATTAATTAGACATTTATTAACTTACCCAGACCATATTTAACTATTGATGCCATAAGATGGCTGTGATATAAGTAAATTTAAACATGTTTTGCTGTCAATGTGGTTATTGTAAAAATGGATAATCAAGACTTTACTTATTATTATATAAACAGTAGTAATGACAAACGAGGCTAGCCTATAATTGTGTAGTTGATATTGAGAGTCAGAGTAGAGTAATTTGACTGAAATTTTCAGCATATTCTCTTTTCATGTTCTACATTTAAACTATTATAGCGTACTGTCAGCCCTGGTTGGCTCAATGACAGAACCTATTATCTAAAATACATGCATTAAAATATACAATACACTCACCCTGAATAGGTTAACATATCTAGACATATCTGAAAATATTGTTCCCCCATCATTTTACCAGATATAAAATGCAGAGAATAAACTTTTTGTGAGGAGAATTACTTGTTTATTCAGTGTTCCCAGTCTGTTCGTTGTTACCAGTCTGTTCAGTGTTACCAATCTGTTCTGTTTAAAAATTTACTCCATTCTTAAGTCTACGTTTTACTACCAATGTGTGTCCAGACGGTATATTGCAAACTTATAACGTCTTCTGATTGGCCGATTCTTCTATTCTTATATCCTTTCACACAACAGCTGATGGTCTTGTTTTATTACCTGTTAGAGAGAGAAATATGGTTTAACGCCAACTTAACAAAAACTAGGACAATTCGGGATTAACATGCTTCAATTCTACTTCACAAGACCCAGAGAAAACCCACAATCTTGGATGCACGTCACTAGTACTTGTCATATACAAGCTGGGAATTGAAAGCATGTGTTGGCCCCTTGACTAAACAATGACAGACCTTATAATTTATAGCTCATAGTTTAAACCATTCGGCGACATAACCCCTTTAACCCCATTCGGCCATACAACCCCCTTTAAACCATTCGGCCATACAACCCCCTTTAAACCATTCGGCCATACAACCCCCTTTAAACCATTCGGCCATACAACCCCCTTTAAACCATTCGGCCATACAACCCCCTTTAAACCATTCGGCCATACAACCCCCTTTAAACCATTCGGCCATACAACCCCCTTTAAACCATTCGACCACCCAACCCCCCTTTAAACCATTCGACCACCCAACCCCCTTATGTGCAAGCAAAAGAAATGCTATCAGTGTGAACAGCCTGTGGTCAAATTAAAGAGGACAAATATTGCAATGGAGAGAGAGAGAGACAAACCAGGTTTTTGCGGTACTAACATATGGTTCATTTTTATTTCAATAATTTGCTTGTGCTTAGGGGTCTTTAGCAGTGGAAGGAAATCGGAGGACCCGAAGAAAACCCACAAGGTTGGACAGAAATATTGGAATAAATATGGATTATAAAATACTAGCAATAGTATGTCTAAGCATGTCTGTTATTGAAACTAGGTTGATGAAAACAGACATACGCCAAGCAGTGTTCTACAGCCTACTTATACTGCAAATCCTAACTATTGACTCCTTGTCAAAAGTTTTTCTGTTCCCAGTAAATTTTACTGGACAACTTTTTTTACTGCTAAACGGTTGTGCATTAGTCCCTGTACAATGTAAGGAACAATTTAAAAGGTGGGAACACTAGCCGGCGAAATTCGCCTAGTTGTCCACTGTCATTCGGCCGAATGATTCGCCTGAATCAAACAAGTTTGATATATAGACCTACATGTAGTGTGTCCGCATCACCGAAGCATTCGCCCGATTGTAGAATTCATTAGCCAAACACCACTCATCATCCGCTCACATAGTAAAGTCACGTCACCTTGCTTACCTTGCTGTAGTCAGTACAGTGTATGTGCGACACAACATACGTCTACTGTTAAAAATACATCTTCTCCTGCTAATACTTTGGCAGCGGCCATTGCAATCTAAATATAGGGTAATACACAAAGTTAAGAACCTCGGTATTACAAAGACGAAACAAAATTTAGGTACATGTAACCTGGGGGAAAATTTGGAATCTTTGAAAAAATTAGAATCTTCAGTCATTACTTTGCCTACCCCAGATAGAATCTCATTTGTTCAATACAATTTTTCGTCTTTGTAATTGTTTGGATGTTTGTATTTATTAATAGATGGTTATCCAGTCATATCTTATTCATTGGAATCAAACAATCTGTTTCACAGAAGATTTCGAGAGTCTTCTAATATCTCTGACTGCTTTCAACACTTGACGCCACGTGATGTGACGTCAGTCATTGGCTCAATGGCACGTCCATTGTTTACATAAGACGTTACTGAATCGGGCAGCATGCTGCCTTTTACTCATTTTTTACACTAAATAGAAAATAATTTTTACCTACAAATACTTCAAAGTTCAAACGTCATTGTTTATTTTTCTAATACATAAAAAAAATGTTTTAGAATTTAATTTGTCGGAAGAAAAAAGTTAACATTTTGGGCTCCTTATCAGTGATTGTAGCGGCCAAGCGAATATTCACTTCTGATCAGACACAAGAAAGAAATAGAAATAAGTTGTTTTATTTTCGTAGACTATACTTTACCTGATGTTCAGTGTATTGCTTGATAAACAGAGCGTGACTGACGAACAGGGCAACAATTGCAAGCACTGATCTTGCCAAACATCCATCGAGCACCAGTTCGCGTTTGGCTGTGAATACAACCACCATCCTACAATAATAATTAGCTGTATCTAGGGTTTCGACCAGGATCCCACAACCCTATTAACTCACAAAACCCACCGTAATCAATTAAGATCATGGGTTAAAGATATTGATTGCAGACCTCGTGCTTTATGGTAAAATAAAAACTGCTGATATCAATGTTACGAAGTTAGATACAATTTTGCTTGATTTATCTCAAACGACGAGAATGTTAGAATTACTTAAAAAAACAATCTGATTAAAACACAGATCCTATTTGGTTTCCTTTTTTATGGTGCAAAATTTTGTTTTACTTGTCTTTACTACATTAGAATCTGAAAGTGTTGTTATAACCCATGTTCTGGTTGATGTAAGGGATTAGTCAATGAAACGATCTGTTGCAGCAAGTTCTTGGCGTGTGATGCACTGAACTGTGGGTATCCAACTCGAAATACCAACGCTGAATGGTTAATGAAATGTCTAAGGTCCTGTTATTGGCTCGTTAACTTGCAGGTTCTGTGTTTGATTCAGGTGTTGGCCGAGAGAGTTCATTAGGTTTACCCTTGTCAGTGTTGCAGGACAGAGGGCCTAGCAAGGGACAATGCATAGTCAGTTGGATGGTTCGAAAAATCAAGGTCCCGTGTACATATAGGCATGCACGTAATACAACCCTTGGCAGTTCAAATTTGATATTAGAGTAGCTTGTTATACCGCTGCTGTCTGGGCAAAATTTTCCTCGAAGCACACGATTGGACGTATGTCCGTCTCAATTGGCCCAGGACAGAACAGTAAGATGCTAAACCCCATTTCATTTCTCTGTTTAAAAGTCTGTAAAACGATTTAATGACTGAATACAAATAGTACAATTTTTCATATTTCTTCAGATTGTTTTTTATGTCACAAAGCGAAACTCGTTTTCATTTGCCCGGTTGGACCAAAAAGTAGGGATTTAACCCCCATTTAATTCATTCTGAAGCCTACAAAGAGCAAGGACAGGTTCCAAAAAACAAAATATGGACTCACGAGTTACTGGGAAGTAAATTATATAGTGTATTATAAGGTATAAGTTTGTGTGAATCACGTTGGCTAAATGGGTTGGACGCTGGCTTGCTAGTCTGGAGGTCGAGGGTTCACTCCCGATGTAGGTCAAGACAGTTCATCGGGATTTTTCAGCATGATTTCCCCTTGTCAGTGATGCAAGACAGAGGGCCTGACAAGGGCAGCTGTCTAGTCGTTTAGATCGGACGGAAAACCAGAGGTCCTGTGTACACATTGGCGTGCAAGTAAAAGATCCTTTGGTGGTTGGAATTCGATATACATGTAAGAGTAAGCCATAGCAAAATTGTTCCCGTCTTCATTAGCCCAGTTGAAGCAGAACAATAGGACATTTAACCCCACTTATTTTATTGTATCATGAACAACATTTATTGTATAGAACGAATAAAATAATGGTGAGAAAAAAATGAATTTGACAATTTGCGACTGACGTCATAATATTACAAAACATGCACTAGAATATTAATTATGTTTCATTGATCAAAATTAATTTTTTTTTAAATATTGGGGAAATTGAGTGACGCTGAATTTAGTCCTGTCACAGTTCTACCAATGGAAAAAGATTCATAGAATCGTGATAATTAAACACAATCAATATGTTTCAGCTGTCATGGTTGGTTGAGATATTTTCTTATTTATTTGACACACATGCCTTGTAGCCAGAAATCCTTCTTTTTACTCAATCTTGGAATTGAGAGAATCCAATTCTGAAATATTCAATTGATTATCTCCAACATTGTTATGGTCCGATTGACTAGGGCTGTAATTCGCCCTTAATGTTGAATCATGTGCGTGGGTCGACAGATGCCGTTTAACGGTGCTACGCCTAGAAAACGACCGTCCACATACTTCACAGGAAAAAGGTTTTTCACCGGTGTGAGTTGTTGCATGCTTCTGAAGATTACTGCCATCACTAAATGATTTACCACAGATATCGCATTTAAATGGCTTATCACCGGTGTGAGTTTTATAATGTCGGTTCACATCACTCTGTCTACAGAACGACTTTCCGCATATATCGCAACTAAAGGGTTTTTCCCCCGTATGCGTTTTCATGTGCGTAAGAAGATTACTACACTGAGAAAACGATTTATCACACATCCCACACTCAAACGGTTTTTCGCCAGTGTGAATCTTTTTGTGTTTCTGTAAATTACTGTGTAAGTTAAATGATTTATTGCAAACATCACAGTGATGAGGTTTTTCACCCGTATGGGTCACCAAATGTCTAAGTCGATCCGTTTGTCTTGGAAACGTTTTCCAACAGTAATCGCAATTAAAGGGTCTGTTTCCCTGATGAACTCGGGCATGTTCTTGTAAATTAGCCTGATCATTAAATATTTTATTGCAGAAATCACATTTAAGGTTCCAACTTCTGTTATTAGTGATAGGGAGGTCTGGTATGGAAATCACCTCACTATATTTATCAATGTCACCAGTTTCTTTTTCTTTTAAACATACATCAGCATCCTCAGATGTTCCTCTGTTATCTCCATTATCAACCTTGTTCTCCATGTGTAAATAAACATCCGAATTCCCTTCCTGATCTTGATTATCAACCTTGTATTCCGTGCGTAAATGAACATTGGAATTCCCTTTCTTATCTTGATTATCCTCATCCGTGTTCTCCATGTGTAAAGTATCATCCGACGTCTCTTTGATATCTCCATTGCCCTTCTTCCCCACGTGTAAACGAATATCAAACTTAGTTCCTTTATCCTCATCCGCGTTTTTCATTTGTAAACTACATGTTACATCAGACCTCCTTTCGTTATCTCGTTTATCATCCTCGTTCTCCATGTGTAAACTATCATCAGACCTCCCATCATTATCAGATGTCTCTCCATCTTTCATGTTTAAAATAACATCCGCTTTCCATCCGTTACCGCCATCTTCAATGTGTAAACGTGCATCAGACTTCTCACCTTGATCATGTAAACGGAAGTCTGGATATTTGTCTTTGCTGACATTGACATTAAAATCTATTCCCCTCATATCCTTATTTTCAACATGAATTATTTGGTGGTCTTGTAGCTCGCTCCATTGATGGAAGATCTGACAGCATATTGCACACTCATGGAAGTTTTTACATTCATCAGTAATCTGAAATTCATGAAAAGATATAACATGTATGTGCTAAATCTTCCTATTGTAGGTTTATATTTTGGCTTTAATAAACTTAATTTAGACATGTATTCATATGACAAGCCTATAATCAACACTCTAGAACATCCGATGGCCCAATCTGGTTAAAACACAGATCCTATTTCGTTTCGTTTTTATAGTTCAAAATTTCATTTTACTTTTCTTTACTACACTTGGATCTGGAAGAGTTGTTATTTAACTCGTGTTCTGAATGGTGTCGGGGATAAGCCAATGAAAAGGTCTGTTACGGCGAGCTTTAGGCGTGTTTTTCACGGAACTGTGGGTAATCCACTAATAACATCAATGCTGATTGGTTAATCAAATGTCTGACATCATAGGGTAATATGTCGGTCTTTTGACCCCTGATGTGACCTATCACTATAACTTGTCAGATCTTCATGTAGTGTAGGCCATCGAAAGTATAAAAAAATGAAACGAAAAGAAATATAGATCTGTATTTTAATCAGATTGCAGATGGTCACGATTTAAACAAATGTGAAAATTAAAACTATAAAATGAACAATCGAGGCTAAGTCTCGGTTGTTCGGCACCGTTGCTAGGATAATGAACAATCTACACGATAGCTTCAAACAGTTATAATTTCACTCAGATTCAGAATACATCTAAAGTAATTTCAATGAAAGAGAGAGAGAGAGAGAGAGAGAGAAATGGTGTTTAACATCCACTCGACACAAACTAGGTCATTTCGGGACTAGCATATGGTTCAATTTTATTTCAATAATTCGCTTGTGGGCAGGGCTCTTCAGCATTGGGAGGAAAACGGAGGACCTGGAGAAAACCCACAAGGTTGGACAGATAACCCTACTCCTTGTCACGTACAAGCAGGTAATCATATCCAGACCACTTGACTCAATCACAGACCTTTGGATCCAACATGCACAAATTAATCATTTGACCACCCACCCCCACCTAATTTGAATGAAATTTTCAATATAATCTACTTTTGATCTATAATAGCAAGAACATCCAGCTCTTTTGCTAAATCTTACATAATGCATGTTTAGTTTTTATGAATATTAAAATAGGCCAACACATACAAATGGGTAGACAAATAAGCTGATTGACCAAGTTTAATTCTGACATCGAAGACTTGAGGCAAAAACACTTATCCCTACTATGTGGATTTGAAAGGTATTGAGCTACAACTCTTACTGGGAAGTCAGGTGGAACAAATAGACAACCAGCATATTCACCTGTGTGAACGCCCAAGCTCAAAACCAAGGTGAGGCTGAAAGCTTTTTCATACCAGTATAAGATAATAATTCATAGCGATATTTGATAACATACAGTTCTTTATGCCAAACTGTTATTTTTAATTTACAATCATAATAATTTTGTGTCAAAATGCCCCTCAAAATGTGATGTCCAAGAGAGTTTATTAGCAATTGTAACCAAATCCCCCATTATTTAAACTCCTATCACAATAATCTATATCAATATTTTTTATAATATACATGTACTACTGGTATTCTTTATGCTAAATTGTCATTATTAATATAAACGCAGTGGATATTCAGCTGTCCGACGTTTCTTTACTTTATTTACTATTTAGCCGTCACTTCCGTTTGATATGCGCAGTTGTCTGATTCCTGGAGTTAGCGGTTTTTGCTTTGGCAATGATGCCGGCTATTTCAACTCGTGGCCTATTTTACCGCCAGTTCAACTATTTTACCGTCTCACGACGAATTTTATTTTACCGTCTCACGATGAATTTTATTTTACACTAATCCTAACCCTGCTCGAAAAGAGTCAAATTCGCTTCCAATTACGCCAGAAACATTATTTTAGTAAACGCACTAGCCGTCAACATCTTCTTCAGTCGCCATATTTAATCACGTGATAAGGGCCTGAGATCTCTCGAGAATCGGACAACTGCGCATATCGAACGGAAGTACGGCTAAATAGTAAATAAAGTAAGGAACCGTCGGACGGCAAAATATACACTATGTAATATAAAATAGTAACATTTTTGTGAAAATTCCCCCACAAATTACCCGAAATCGCTTGCTTGGAAATTGCATTTTAAGGAATATTTTTGAAACAATTTTGCATAAAGAACAGTATATTTCTAAATATAGACATAAATCATTATATTATATGAGTGAAATACTGGTGGATTTGGGTAAATAATGCAATAAATCGAGTCAAGAGTAACGAGACATTATAATACATTCAAAACAAAACAAGGCTCTAGGACGAGAAATCTCAAATATACAACACTTGAACGTCACATGGAAATCAATCAAAACACAAAGAACAATGCCATGTGGACAGGACTTGCATTTGGTAAAACTCGTCGGCAAGGGTTAGGGTTGGGTGAAAGGACATACCCCGTTTAACTTCGTCGAAGACAGTATAATAGTGCCACAATGTAAATATTAAAATAATGCACAGTGTTAGAATTAGAATAGTGAGGTTAAGTTCGACTTACACCGTCCATTCTTCAAAGCTAGGCAATTAATTATTCTGTACAATTTCTACTTTTATAAGATTAACGAACAGTCAAAAATGCAAAGTGTTAGATTATCAAATCCGCCGACATGAAATCCGACGCCACCTTGAATCCATTCCACGGCATGGTTAGTATGAAAAATTGATCTGGATCCGACATGCACGAGTAACTCACAATCAGAATTATTATTATTATTATTATCATCGTTCCACGAGAAGCAATCATGATAATTTAACGTACTGAATATACAAATTAGGTTCCGCCATTATTCAATTTCTATTGTTTGACAATATCTAACATGGGATGTTGCCTCACCCTCTATATCACCCTCTATTTCATAATGGATCAAACTTTATGTGGGCTAATATTCAGTAAGCATTGAGTGATCAAGGGAGATAACTGGAAAAATCGAGACGTCTCTGACTAGCAATTATTTGTTCATTGATTTATACTAATAATAATAATAACATCAATAATAATAAACACTTTATTTCAAAAGGGTAGAAAAATTCAATGTTAAATGACTGTAATATCACAGGCTGTAGCTTTTTGCTCAACATTCCGTTGGTTCCAATATTTATAGGCATAATGGAGACCACATTTGGCAATATCCTAATCATAATTTTGTAGTGGGTTGACCGTTTGAATTTTTTGCTACGGGGATTTAAAGTTGACTGGGGTGAAAATCTCACTTCCGACGCAATGATTGCTCTGCAGAAAGACACTTTACACCCCCTATCCCTCCGCCCTAATATCATCAGTATTACCCAAAACTGCTATGGAATTGCAAATTTGATCCCTTTTCTCCAATTCTAGACCAAAAAGTCAACCAAAAAATGCAGAAAGAGGGGAGAAAAAAATTAAGTGAAAAATTGTCTATTTATAACTCGCACTACATTCCTAGTGGAAATAATTACTGGTCTAATTCCAGACATTGGCCATCACATTTGCCAGACATTTTTAGCAATTTTTCTGTGAATTAACTTAATTTTTAAAATGTGCTTTAAGTATTTTGTCACTATTTCTCAATAATGTGGTAGGCTGCTGGTAATATTGGGTAAATCGTTCCACTTTTAGTCACATTCATTGTATGTCAAATGGTAAACATACAAACATACTATCTTGCAGGGACGTAACTAGCTCAGAGCAACGAGGGGGCGGAAAGTGTTATCAGGGGGTGTTGTAAAATTGACGGACAATGTATATCTATTGTTTTTATGGTCGACAATTTTTTCAAAGGGGGGGGGGGGCGAAACTTTTTACAGGGGGGGGGGGGGGCTTCTTGGCATATTAATAATAATATGCACTTATGATTGCGCTCACTCCATCCATATTGTATGTTCTAAGTCAAGGGTTTATATACCCTTTTTTGCCATCGGCACACCTTGGAACACATGAAAAAATAGCGGCCCACCTGGCTAAATATAAATGAATAATATTTGAATTTTGCAAAATAAATACGTGGTAAGTCAGACGGCATACAACCGCAGACAGAGACTAGTCATAGCCACATCGAATGACTCAAACTAAATAAAGAAAAACACAGCTATGAACTTTCAGTAGACACCAGTGAATACTCAATTGGGATCACGTGGTTTTTCGTATTTGCTTAGTTTAGTATGCCTTTGAAAATTTCGTGGCAAATTTAGGAAGATCTAACCTAATAGAAGATGATAGTTAATCCTGATAATAAGTAACAAACAAATGAGTTTTGATTTTGGATTCAAATACAGCTAACTTTTGAGAACTCAGTCTCTCAAATGGTATGTTATTCCTGGGAATAATAATTAAATCCAACCTGAACTGGGATAGCCACATTGGCAAACTAGGGTAACCTCAATATATGACAAAACTAAATATATTGTTAAAACTCGCGAAGGTCTTTCAGAACCTATCAATTCTTGCATGAGAGTTAAACAGGGTTGTGTTCTTAGCCCAACCCTGTTTAACGTCTATGTCAATGACCTCTAATCATATCTGAAAGTAACTGATGTCTATGCCCCTACACTCCATAATATTACTGTACCCCATTTACTTTTTGCTGATAATCTGGTACTTTTATCCACTTCCCCCAATGGAATTCAAAATAGTCTCCAATATCTTGAGAAGTTTTGCGATGACTGGAAATTGAACCTTAATACAGATAAATCTAAAATTATGTTGTTTATCAATAACCCTACGCTAAAGCAAACCATTCCTAATAAATACTTTTTCCGTGATTTCAAACTTGAAGTTGTACAGTCTTACATCTACCTGGGAATCAAGATATGCAATAATTCATCCTTCAAACTAGCAGTCTTGGACCTTGTAAAAAAAGCTAAACGGGCTTGGTTTAGTTTAAGGAGCAAAGTTGGTCTATATTCTTCTCACCATGTCCCTACTGATGTATTAATAAAACTCTATGATGCGGTTGTGAAACCGAATAGTATCTATGGGAGCGAGATATGGGGAGTGAACTTGTACATAGCAAAACATTTAATGTGTCTCAATGGAGCAAAGTTGAGCACAATAAACTCACCACAAATGCATGTAAATCTATATTACCACAACCACCAAGAACCACTAATATAAAGTGTCTAGCTGAAGTAGGCTTGTTTCCACTCCAGCTCGACATCTATAAAAGCATGCTACTCTACTATAAACGACTTCTCACAATTCAAAGCACTATAGACACCACCAACCCCCTCCTCGTTGCAGCACTTAAGGCGGATGCCGAAATTGCTAAATCTAACTAAAAAATGTCTTGGCTAGCTTTCATTACCGAGATACTGAACTATTTTGACATAGATAAAAATCAGTTAACAAAACCTAAACTACAAATGTCACTGGAAACTATATTTAACTCACTGCTAACAAATGCATGTTCTCCACCTAATGATAATCATCACAAATTATGAACTTATGCGCTAGTTAAAACCTCAATCGCCAACCCTCCAGACTATCTCTTCTCGGTTACTAACAAACACCACAGGAGTGCCATGTCATCTCTTCGACTGAGATCACATCAGCTGGAGATAGAAAGACGGAGGTACAAAAATATACCTGTTCCACAAAGGCTATGTAACCAGTGTACCCTTTCTGTCGTCGAAGATGAAAAACATTTCCTACTTGAATGCACAAAGTACGAAAATCTTCGGAAGGAAATTGTCTATCCAATTCTCTCCAAAAATCTATTTAACCCCCGAAGGTGTATATCTCGCGAAATCTGCCGTTTTGTGTGTTTTGTTCTTACTTCAAGAGATGTTACCTGACAGGATCTGTCCTTATGTATATATGTATCTATATATCACTAAATAAATGTGAATGTTCTAATATATTCTACATGTGTTCGTATAGATTCTAGTCATGTATATTTTCTTCGTTATTGTTGAGAGCGTACTTTCTGATTTATAAGATTGAATTAGGTATTATATTCGATTTAGGTTTCTTCACACATCGGCCTTGAATCAGTAGTGAACAAGGCAACGTTTATATCTATGTTCATGTATATTTGTTCTTATGTGATTTTTCTTTCATTTAGTATTTGAATGCTGCTCCCCGTGGGCGTTTCTATGCAATCAACTTACTTAGTTACTTATAGGCGATACTCGATTGAACGTTCCGGAATTGAATTCTGTCAAAAATAGTGACAATCGAGGGCTAAATCTATTTGTTAAGGTCAGCTCAATTTTTGGCAAGGTCGCTGAGATGTAAATAAGGGTAAAGCACGAGATTATATGTTAGGGTTAGGGTAAACATTGGGGATAGATCTAGGGTTTAGGGTTAGGGTAGGGATTAGCGCTAGCCCTGTTTACATCTCGTGACCTATGACGAAAATTGAGCTGGCCTTATCATTTTGCACTAACTGACAATAGAGTGAAAATGGGATTTGGGGCTAGAACGCATGCACTGACTGCATGAGAAAATATCTCAACCAACCATGACAGTCAGGACTGACAGAACTGTGACAGGATTGAATTAACAGCGTCACCCGATTGCAATTCCGTTAAATCGGAACGTTCCGAATGACAATCGATCACCTCCATATACGATACAGTTTTATCAATTTCAGATGATGACACTGTTATTTAAATATTAATTATAGAATATAGAAGGGGGATCACGTGGCTAAGTAGGTAAGACGTTGGCTCGCTAGCCTGGAGGTCGGGTGTTCGATCCCAGCATTGGCCGAGAAAGTTCATTCAGATTTTCCGGCGTGGTTCTCCCTAGTCAGTGATGCAGGACGGAGGGCCTGACAAGGACAGCTGTCTAGTCGTTCGGATGGGACGAAAAACCGCGGTCCCGTGTACACATTGGCGTGCACGTAAAAGATCCCTTGGCAGTTGGAATTCGATATAAGAGTAGGCTGTAGCGCCGCTTCTTGGGCAAAATTTCCCTCATAGCACACTGTATGGCGTATGCCCGTCTTCATTAGCTCAGTATAGGAGCAGAACAGTAGGACGTTAAACCCCATTTCATTTCATTACCTCTCAAACCAATTCAGACATCCCGACCAAATATATTATATAATTTTAAAACAAATGTTGAGTCGATCTATTACTGTGAATTGTAACCGGAAAGTTATATTAAGTAATGGAAATCCTCCTTGAAACCAATGACGATATAGTGTAGGCTTATTAGTATATAGGACAATATTAGATCAGTATAAAGGAACTTTATTAGCGTTTAAGTCCCAAGAGCTGAGCTATACATCTATATAACGGTATGTTTATGTATTTTATATCGGATTTCTGTATTTAATAGACTTGAAGACGTAGTCATGACAACATCGCCACGCCCTGTTGGATTCAGACTAGACCGAAGTAACATGTTATAATATCAATGCTACAAATCGGAGGCTTAACCCGAATGCGGGCGATGGAACATTTATGTCGACGAACAAAAGCACGAAACTAATGTTTTTGTTATTCTTTTCCTCAGACGAACGAATGTTTTAGCTCTAACACTACACTACCGGCCAATGACGTATATATATTAGCATACGTCATTGCTACCGTCATGGGGGTTAGGTGGCCGAATGGTTAACGAGTACGCGTTGTATCATAAAGTCTGTCATTAAGTCAAATGGTGTGATTTCGATTTCCCACCTGTACGTGACAAGGAGTAGGGGTCGCCCTGTTCAACCTCTTGAGATTTCTCCGGGTCCTCCGGTTTCCTCCCACTGCTAAAGACTCCTACGCTCAAGCGAATTAATTAAATAACATTGAACCATATGTTAGTCCCGATATGACCTAGTTTGTGTCGAGTGGTTGCTAAACCCAATCTCTCTCTCTCTCTTTGCTACCAACACATGGTTTCTAAAGGGCTTACAAATCACATGATAGTTGAATGTCATGTGATTTGTTCATGCTTTTTGAACCAGCAGCCGGTGAACAAATTGATCGGAACAATGTTTTCACGAATGTTCGGCTAAAATGTTCCATTGTGTGCGTTCGGCTTTAGTGACCGCTCATTTTGCATGATGAAGAAAAGTTCCGCGGGGGCATAAAAACTGAATATTTATATAGTATAACTCCCGCTGGGACCACGAAATGCTGGGCTGGTTGGAGCAGGCTAGAGGGCATTTGTTATGGAAGACCAAACAGCTCTTTATTCAGTGTTCTTAGTTCTTAATTCACAGTCCTTAATTCTTATTTCTTCATTTTTTGTCGTATTTCGACTTTTGTACACTAAAATTAACATTTGTAAAATGAATGTTTGTATTTTAATGTAAAGATAATATTATTTTTAGAAAATCAAAAAATTAGCCTCCATTTACATTTCCCCAGAGAAATACAACGAAAAACAAATCTCGAACAACAAATTTCCTAATACAAATCTCCAAATATAAATCTTGCAAATCTCTAAAAACATTTCTCCAAAAACATTTCTCGAAATTCTTCGAACCCGAACATTATGACGACATGAGCGGAAATCAACCCGACAAACAATGTCTCACCATACAATAATGGTGAATCGGCCAAGCATATATACAATAAGAAATATCGCTTGATGACCGCGACTTTAGTGAAAGTATGCGTGCGTAGTATGGCTATTCGGACCGGGTTTTCGAGAAAGGAAATAGATTGAACATAGTCTATTTTCAGAAATTAGGTTTTGTCTGGTAGTGACCTATTTCTTTGCCCAAACGAGTGTTTTATCTCTGTAGCACCATGGGTCGTCTGTCAGACGTGGAGATCGGTCATATAGCAACGCCGGTTGCCACATCCGGCGTATAACCATGCATAGTTTCTTACTACATATTTTGGAACAGCCTTTGATCGTCTAGTATTGTCTCTGGTTGCATTTGTAATTCTTTAACTGATTAGGACGTATCTTTAAATGCCATTCTGACATTCTACATTAATGACAGCTTCACGTTGTGATTGAATATACTGCATCTTAAAGCTGAACTCCGATTACAAAACTACAGAAATAATTAAAGAAAAAAAAGGTAACGCCCTAAACGACTGCCATACTTGTTTTCAATTTGTAGAAGAAACATGACGTCGTGTCCGCTACGAACGACTTGTTTAGAATGGCTGTGGAAAATTGCTTCCTGACCAGCATCTAGGTCTTGCAGCATCTCGAAGGGGACTATGTAGAAAAATAAATAGAAACCATAGACTCTGTACAGGTCCTTCACAGATAGGCTTAGAAGTTTTCAACCAGCTCTTGTAAGCTATAGTGTTGACTTGACCTGTGAACGCGATAGAGGCTAGAGTTTTGGCAGATTCTTTCCAACATCGTGGTCATAAGAAGAGGAACCCTGTCGATTTCAGCATTCTGTTACGTTTCGTTCTGGAGTAATCCCTGTTTTACAGATTACCTTGTGAACGGGATAGAGACTTTCGTTTTCGACGGATTCTTTTCGAAATTTGTGTGAAGCATTGTCATCATGGGAGAACGAATCCTATCGATATTCAGCATTCTATGACTGTCCAGTGAGCATTGGGACCATCAGAGGAGGAACCCTATCGACTTTCCGTATACTGCTACGTTTCGATCCGGAGTTATACCCACTTTGTCGACCGGGATAGTGGCTTTAGATTCGGACAAATGATTTTCAGATTAAGTGTAAAGCATTGTGGTCATCAGACGAGGGACCCAATCGGTATTCGGCGTAGTGTCACTGTCCGTACCCGAGTTACCCCCTGCCCCAATTGCATTGCAAGAATGAACCCTATCGACATTAAGCATTCTGCGACTTTCCTTTCCAGGGCCACCCCCTTGTGAACGCGATAGAGGCTATAGTTTTTAACAAATTTTTGCCCGTCTTCATTAGCCTAGTTTCTGAACAGAACAGTAGGACGTTAAACCCCATTTCATTTCATTTCATTTTACATTCCATGACCCCCTGTTCTCGAGTTACGCCCCTTTGACGTAATAACCTTGTCTTGAAGAATTGGGATCATGATCATTATTGATATTTATAATCCGCAGCCTGCTGTACCTGAGTTATTCACCCCCCCCCCTCTATAGCGACAGAGAATTGTGACAGAATTTTGATATCGATTAGAAGGAATAGGGTCATATGAAGATGATTCCTCGAGATGAGATTTATTCATTGATCTTCAAATGTGCTTATCGTCCAAGTTGTCCTTTCGGATAAGTTGCAGTTGAGATAAACTTTTGTGTGGGCATATCCAACGCTTTGCGTGGCTATCATTATTATTTGTGTTCTCTATATATTCACAGCACATGCAACAAAATGGATCAACAGATTTTAGTAAATCAGATAGTATCCATCAATCAAGGTAAAACAATCAAGGAAATCGTAACAGATACCAAGATGGAGAACAACAGAACGATGAAAGATCAGGATTGTGGTTTTGAAGTAGGCGATGAGGAAGGGCAGGAATTACAGTCTGAAAAGGAAATACCGGAGCAGAAGCTAAAACAGATAACGGAAAAATTAAGTGCTCTTCAATATGTTGATTCTGACTCATTTAAAACCAATGATCACAACAGTCAAAATGAATCCATCATGGACGGTAAGGTTGACCAATCATTCCAAGTAAACAGAGACCAGGTCAACAATAACATCACATTAAATAGAGAATTAATCTCAAGTGACAAGGACACGAAGATATGCCCAATACCAACAGAGACGGATAGCAATATAATTAAAGATGTGGATAGCAAAACAGCTGTGGATAACAAGCCAATTGAAGAGGAAGTGGCGTCTAACCAATCTTCACATGATAACAATTTAAAAACAGGTACGTTATCATCTGCACACCCTTCTTCCCTTTGTCTTTGATGAATTGTTTCACTTATTCACTGAAGCCTGTATTACTACCGGCCTGGGATTGTACAGCGAAATGGACGCTTACAGTAGCCTCTCTGATCTATTCACTTGCGTTTGCAACGTCTATTTACTTTGTGTATCTTGACCGCGGGTTTGCCGTACGGGTTTTGTTCGTGTGTCTGGTTGAACCGAAGGTCGGAAGATCTGCCATTGAGTCAAGTGGTGTGGTTTTGATTCCCCGCCACAAGGAGTAGGATCGCCTGTCCCCCGGTTTCCCTGTACAGCTGAAGTCCCTACGCGCAAGCGGATTATTGAAATAAAATAGAAACATATGCTAGTTCCGAAATTACACGGTCTCTCTCTCTCTCTCTCTCTCTCCCTCTCTCCTTTTATTATTAAACAGACTATAAGTATCCCCCTTGATGTCAATTACAGTATATTCAAAAGATAAAGTGGAAGAAGAAGAAACTATAGAAGCGATTATACCTGTTGATCACCAAAGAGGGTTGATACCTAAAGATGATAGATGGAAACTGCAAAGACACACGGATTATCTTGTAAATGAACTTGATGCCATAGAACTTATAAATAAACTGTATTCCCAGTTTGTTTTCGACGACGATGAATATGAATCATTATTGAATAGATTAGAGACCAAAGGAAGATACAAATGTGTTATGAATATGTTGATTATTTTACGCAGAAAAGGACCACATGCATACATTCAATTCCTGGTGGCTCTAGAACGATGTGGCTATACCTGGATTATAAAGACTTTATAACCTGAATGTGGTATGTATAGTATTATCAGGTATACAGAGAACAACGTATCGTAACATTTAGTGGTAATGTTTGACTTGGTAGGAAACATAGACCCAAAAACTCAATATCTGCTGCATTCTCTGCCAGCCTGGATCAACTGCATAAGACGTTGGGCCTGTTTTAGTCTGACCCATTCCTGTCTCTTCCAAATCGTTAAGATTCTGCACTGATGAATCCGTTTGATGGATTTTACGCCCAAGATTGCCCCCGGATTCAGGCCAGGGCATTTGGATGGCCAACGCAGCGCATCAACGGCAACGCAGATAATCTACAACGTAACGTAACGTGTACGGTATGGTCAAGCGTTGCCGTCTATAACGATTGACTTTGTGTAAAGAGATTGATTATCAAAGTGATTCAATTATAAACCTGGCACATCCCAGTGGCCTCATTCCGTTCTACTCAACTAACCCATGGGTTCATACATGGGGGAGATACCTATTCAGATTATCTGCCCATGGAAATTTAGTTATTTTTATCGACAAATGAAAAAATAAGTGAAATACATAAAAACTGACACAAAGACACCTTTCCCATCAAAAAGATTTTAAGGGCATCTCTTTGTGTGTGTATTATTTGTTTTGCAAACTTTCTCATAATCGAACGAACAAGTCGACATATTGTTATGAACTTAAACGATGGGGCTAAGACTGGTTTGTAAACTGTTCGTTGATTAATTTTTAGAATCAGGCTACGATCACGGGTTGATAATCTGAATACATGAATACCGTATGGATGAACCAATGGTATAGAGGGGTAGAACGAAATACGACCACTGGGGATACCGAGGATAACTTTTCACTGTTACCAGGGCGTGCTAATGATCCGAATTTATATGTCTTTGTTCCACCGATAAAATCGCAGTAATTTCTGATGTTGGCTACCTTTTGTTGTAAAATTCCCGCTTATGTCAAAGTCTTACAATCTTTTTGAATGCCCATAGAACAACGGGATTTAAATATCTTATTTTCCACCGTTAAAGGCTCAATAATTCCCGATGTGCCTGTCTTTCGTTGTCAAATCCCAGCTTACGTAAAGCCTTACAATCTTGTGGATGCCTACAAAACAAAGCATTTTAACACTTTGTCTGAATGTTTATTGAAGTAATTTTCTATATTTCAGGTATCTATAAAGGAAAGATCAAGTACAGTGGACAGAAGTTTTATGAATTAATAGACAACACCAGTCCTAAATATAAAGAATTTGTAAAAAGATGTGAAAATAATATTGAACAGGTTTACCAGGACAAACCAGGACAACAATTTGTGGTTGTAAAGAAATTAGAGTAAGTTAAAACCTTGCAACCGAGTTGTCTATGTGGTGGGTGTAGTTGCGATCTTACGCGATTTAGAATTATACGATATATTACTTCAAAATTGATCTTGCTGGTTTTGAGTGGATGTTACCCCTCCCCCTCCGCTTCGCTTACCCATGTCACACCCACCACACTCCCTCTCACCCTTCGGCAGATTGAGTCCACTGTGTGAAGTTTGCACTCTTTTGCACTATTTTGTTAGCATAGATTATTTTGTTGTATCGTTTGTCTGAAGGTGCCCAGTTATTAACGAAACTTAAAGTTGCAATTTCATATTTTCTAAGAAAGTCAAAACATAATTATATCTATGTCTTTTGCTCAATAGGTTGTCAACTCACTGTTATACGATCATAGGTGTCATTCTCACACTTAAAAAACTAATTTACACCGGAAATAATAACACAAATACCTCCCAATTACCTCCCTTGTTTTCTATTCTCCACCATGGAGTAGTTATCTTCAAACGTTTGAATTTGAAGATGAAAATGATATTTTTGCCAATTTCTCAACTATCAATAGTGAATTATAGGATTAATAGGTAGGACTGTTTATAGATACCATCTATTTTGAGGCTTTATTTTAATAAATTTTAAAAATATAAGTTAAAAATATGAAATTGCAACTTTAAACGTACACACATGAAACATGAAATTAGTGTGAGACAAGATAGGGTTACTGTTCCTGGAATAGCTAATACCACGTCTTATTTGGTTAGGTAACAATTAAAGATGCATTATGTAAGATTTAGATAAAGAGCTGAGAGTTCATGCTATAATAATTACAAAAAAAGATAATGAAAAGGGAATATGTTCAAATTTATCCATTCTGAACCGAATTCTCGTCATTTGCAAATCAGTGTAGTCTCGATTGAAATTATATTCTCGATTTTCTATTTTTTAATTAAATCAATAACTGCCAATCGTATTGAAATCTGTTGAAAATTAAGACCACCTGAAGTTTTAGAGAGTTGATTATGTTTCTGACATGTAAATATATGTATAATTAATTATTTATTTAACATTTGAGGCCAAACGAAAGATCTGCATTAAGAAGATTTAGCTCTTAAAGTTACAATTTCATATTTTCTAAGAAAGTCAAAACATAATTATTTCTATGTCTTTTGCTCAATAGGTTGTCAACTCACTATTATACAATCATAGCTGTCATTCTCACACTTAAAACTCAGTTACACCGGAAATAGTAACACAATTACTTCCCAATTACCCCCTTGTTTTCTATTCTCCACCTTGGAGTAGTTATCTTCAAACATGAAGATGGGGTGGGTGGATGGCCGAATGGTTAGCACGCGCGCGCTGTATCATACGGTCTGCCATTGAGTCATCTGGCGGGGTTTCAATTCCCCGGTTGTACGTGGCAAGGAGTAGGGTCGCCTGTCCAACCTCGTGGGTTTTCTCCGGGTCCTCCGGTTTCCTCCCACTGCGAAAGACCCCTACGCGCAAGCGAATTATAGAAATAAAATTGAACCATGTGTTAGTCCCGAAATGACCTAGTTTGTGTCGAGTGGACGTTAAACCCCATTTCTCTCTCTCCCTCAAACGTGAAGATGAAAATGATATTTTTGCCAATTTCTCAACTGGCAATAGTGAATTATAGGATTAATAGGATTATTTTTAACAAGGTAAGACTGTTTATAGATATCATCTATTTTAAGGCTTTATTTTAATAAATTTTAAAAACATAACTTAAAAATATGAAATTGCAACTTTAAGGAATATATCTTTAATGGTTGTTGTATATCTTTGTATTATAATAATTATGCCACTCATGAACTAAATTCACCCCTAATATAATATGTTTATTGTAACCTATTTACAGGAAAGGATGTGTTGAAGTAACTTTTCATCTCATATCACTCGGTTCAAATGATGAGGAGGGATTGCGAAGCTGTCTTCAAGATGTCGTACAAAGTGGTTTCATTGATTCTGATCCAGTTAAATCTGACGCATTTACATTTCATCGTATCACAGGTAATGTTTCAATATATTAATCAATTGACAATATTATACTCTTTTTTCAGTGCTCTGAATCCACATCCACACATTAATCAAATATGATAAAGTATATTACGTGATATTTAATAAGATGTTTTATTTCAACCGAATGAATCCACATTAATCAAATACGATCAAGTATATTTCGGTTAATTTCAAGGGGGATCACGACGGCTAAGTGGGTAAGACGCTGGCTTGCTAGCCTGGAGATCGGGTGTTCGATCCCTGCATTGGCCGAGAAAGTTCATCCAGATTTTCCGGCGTGATTCCCCCTTGTCAGTGATGAGGACCTAGGGCCTGACAAGGACAGCTCTCTATTCGTTCGGATGGGACGAAAAAACGAGGTCCTGTGTACATACTGGCGTGCACGTTAAAGATCCCTTGACAGTTGGAAATCGATATAAGCGTAGGCCGTAGTGCCGCTGTGACACTGTTCGGGCAAAATGTCCCTCATAGTACACTGTATGGAGTATGCCCGTCTTCATTAGCCCAGTTTGGAGCAGAACAGTAGGACGTTAAACCCCATTTCATTTCATTTCATTTCATTGGATAATATTAATCCGACTTATAAATATCGTGTGGAGCTCGTGTGGTGAAAAAGCACCACAGGTCAAAATCATTACAAGCCAAAAATTTTGTATTTGGAAAAATTGATTTTTTTTCTATGTCCAATATTTTGTGGAACTATTGTGGTAAAAATAAAAAAAAAACAGACTACAAAATCAGATCAAAATTGCATTTACAGATTCTAAATCAGAAACTTCTGTCATTTTAAAAAAAACCCGAATATCTTGTGGTGAAATAATTCATACAAAATCCGCCAAAATTGACCTTTAAAACTATTTTTAATTATTAATTTGTATTTTTAAGATGGGGAATTCAGCAATGAAAGACAATCGATGAAAGAAAAACGGGTAAAAGACCTTGAGAATGAAATACGAACCTTGAAATTAGAAATCATTGACCTAAAGGTAGAAAATGGTGCATTGAAATCTGAGTCGGTTCATTCTACGGAAATTCAGACATTCAAAGAACACGAAGCTAACAAATATAAAGAAAAACTTCAAGAACTGGAATCAGAGAAAGAACTGGTTATTTGGAACTTACGAGAACAACTGGACCACCAGAAACAAGATAACGACAAATTACAAGCAGACCTGGACAGATTACAACAAAACCTTACCAGATTAAAAGTTAAAGTCAAATTACAGCGGAGTCGGGGCAGACCACATTCTGACTGTGTAACACGTTTACCAGATACAGTCAAATTACAACAAGGCCTGGGTAGATCACATTCTGACTGTACAACACGTTTACAAGATAAAGTCAAATTACAACAGAGTCTGGGCCTTTTACTGCCTGATCGTGAAACACTTCTACGTGTACAGGGCCTCGACAAATTACAGTCTGACAATGATACATATACAAGAAAATTAACCAAATCACAGCTTTACTATGACAAACGTCAACATGGTCGATCCTGTATAATTAGTTGAAGAGATTAAAAAGGCTTACATTGACACATTTGGACGATGGGTGACACCCAATGTCGTGTAATTAATAGTTATGACGTAATGTAACACTAGTGTAACTAATTTACTAACTTTTGACCTCGAATAAAGTATTACGCTCAAAGGGGAGATAATTACAGCTTTATTTTTATTCAATGAAGAGTCTCGAGACAACACTAGTGTTACCTGAAACAAATTCAATCATGGCTTCCGCTTATCCTGCTTCGATAATTCCTTGGCTTATTTCTAAAGAATTGGTCTGTTTGTGTGAATATTGAAAGACTTTTTCAAATTGAATAACCAAATTACATAATTGATCTATGGACATTTATTTCATCTCATTACACCTGTAGTGTACATTATTGATACCTGAGGACGCCTATAGAGGGCAGACAGCTAGTTTATATGATTTAATGTATGTCAGAATGAAGTAAAGTGGTTTTATTTTTTATTTTTATTTATCTATCGTGTATCTACGCTGAGATTGTATGTCTTGACAAACTCAGGCGAAACATATAGACAATTAAACTATAGTACTTTCTTTAGGCATTTTTAACTTTTATTTATTCTATATATAAATAAAAAGCAAAAAAAAAAACCCCAAAAAAACGTCAGTACGATTTCAAAATCAGAGAGGCACTTTAATCAAATCATTCTAAATGAAATGAAATGGGGTTTAACGTCCTACTGTTCTGCTCTTATACTGGGCTAATGAAGACGGGAATACGCCATACAGTGTGCTATGAGGGAAATTTTGCCCGGGCAGCGGCACTATCGCCTACTCTTATATCGAATTCCAACTGCCAAGGGATCTTTTACGTGCATTCCAATGTTTACACGGGATCTCGGTTTTTCGTCTCATCCGAAGGACTAGACAGCTGTCCTCGGCAGGCCCTCCGTCCTGCATCACTGACAAGGGGAAACCACGTCGAAAAATCTGGATGAACTTTCTCGGCCAATGCAGGGGTCGAACACCCAAATCATTCTAGAGAACGACTTACTAAATGGATCAAAACATTGTTTGTGAACAGTGCGTCCACCGCAAGTGTCAATAACAGCAGCACAATCAATCAGCTGACTTTGGTCTCGGTACGACGTTATTAAGTCCAGGACCGTAACTAGCTCAGAGCAACAACAGGGGGGCGGGGGAGTATTCTCAGAGGTGCTGTAATATTGACAGACAATGTATATCTATTTTTTTTTATGGTCGAAAATTTTTTCAGCGCCCCCCCCCCCCTGTTGTAGAAAGATCCGAGTACCTCTGGCGGTGTGGGCACGGGCGTTGATATGCTGGAAAACGTTTTTTCGATGACGTGCGAAATGACGTGGGGTCTGAGAGCTTGATCGATGTAGCGCACTGCTGTGATGCCGCCTTCTCTCCCTGGACTAAGATTTTGGAACACCACAGGACCCCAAATCATTATGCTTGGACCTCCCCATGAGTCTCGTTCCATGACACATTGGTCAAAATAACGCTGGCCACGTCGACGCCATATTCTGGTCCTGCCATCTGCAGTTGATACGCAATACCGACTCTCATCTGAGAACAGAACAGTTCTCCATTGCCCGTGTTGCCAGTTCTGGTTTTGTTGGGCAAACTGTAGACGTTCACGTCGATGGCGAGGGGTGAGGATCGGTCCACGGTAAGGTCTACGGCCATTGATGTTCTCTCTGGTGAGGCGTCGGCGCACTGTATCGGTACTGATGGGTCTTCCGTGTATTCCCACTGTCTGGCGTGCTGTCTGAGGTGCCTGTGTAAAGGGATTCTGCACGTGCTGTTGCACACCTTGGCGGTCTTGTCGCCTTGTGGTAACCCTTGGTCTACCAGTTCGGCGGGCGATCATCCGTGGTGTTGGTGGCCCGAAAGCGTTGCCGAAGCCTGTAGATGGCCCGGTTCCTCTGAGCTGTCGTGGGTCGTGGCATGTTGATTCAACAAGGCATGGGGTGCATTTTAGGGCTGGTCCCGGTGAACAGCACGTGCAACATGAGTTACATTAAAATCATGGAGAACACATTACTATCTTAGAAGTCAGGTTGCGTTTTTGAGAACATTTCCTGGGTTCAATTCTGTGTTTGTGAAGGAGCCTTATTGCTCAGGTATACAATAAAAACATTCGGCAAGTTTTATGCAATGCGTCTATTCTGAGTAACATACCAACCTGGCGTTTCTTTTGCTGTTTAGTATATAATTAAAAACAAATATCACAGTGAATATCAATTTATAACAATTATCACAACAGTTTATGTATATATAACTAAATAATAAGAATAAAAATCACAAATATACCATTAAAATTTCCTGTAGAAATTGCCGTTTTAAAAAGTCTAGTAATTTATACATACCCGACTTCGCAAATAATTGGTGTAAAGAGTAGCAACGGTAATGATTTAATCTAATGTCTTTAGTATGCTTGCACTCAATCAAAATGTGTTAACTGCCAAAGAAACATGACAGTGTCCACATTCTTGTTTCAGAAGACGTTACAGTAGCCGAGGCTTCCCGATCACCATCTTTAGAACCATCTGTATAAATATGAGCATAATCAAGACTAGATCTATTTGTTAAGGCCAACTAAATGTTTCGTCAAGGTCGCTGAGACGTAAATAAGGTTAAGACACGTCATTGTTGGTGAGATTGTAGATTAGGTTTAGGGCAGCTGTTAGGGCTAGGTTCAGGGTTAGGGTGGGCGTTAGGGCTAGGTACAGGATTAGGGTGGGCGTTAGGGCTAGGTCCAGGGTTAGGATTAAGGTTGGGATTAGGGCTAGCCCTGTTCACATCTCGTGACCTTAGAGTAAACTTGAAGTTGGCTCTATGATATAGATCTAACCAATAATCACGAGTGAGATGTACCCTTCATTTAGAATTGGGTGTCAGTTTGGGTCATTCCAGGGGCCTAAATTTAGTACTCAGCTGGACATACTTTTTCATCTAAAATTAGTTTCAACTGGTACCCCGAATGTATGAATATAGCCCTTTTTCAGGCCCTCTGTGGTCCATATTTAGGATGTCAGTTTGGGCCACCCAGGGTCAAAATGGTCTGTTATGGGCAGTTTCGTAGTCAGTGAGATGCACTCTTTAATTTAAAATTGGTTTTGACCGGTACCTCGAATGTAAACCCATTTTGGGGGTCATTCTAGGGGTCACCGGGGACTCGAACCCGGCAGACGCACACCTCTGTGCATCCTAGGTTAGTATGTAGATGCCTATATGGCCAGACATTGGCACCTCGTTCGTCTAGTTCGACCAAATGGAAAAGCAGGACGTTGACAGGGGGATTAACAGGTCATTGTCCGCCACACTCACACAAATGAAATGTGTGTATGTCAGTATGGCAGATATATAGATTTATTTGGCACGTACATCCTCATAAGTTTCCTCCGAAAGCTAAAGATCGCTACGTTTCGTTTTTTATAGTTCACAATTTCGCTTTACTTGTCTTTACTACACTAGGATCTGGAAGAGTTGTTGTCATTGACGTGTTCTGGATGATGTGTGGGATTAGCCAATGAAATGGTCTGTTACAGCGAGCTTTTGGCGTGGTGGGCACGGAACTATGGGTAATCCACTAGAAAGATCAATGCTGATTTGTTTAGTAAATGTCTGACGTCATAGGGTCAAAAGCGGTTCGTATGACCTATGACGCGACCCCCCAAAACAACTGGTCAGATCTTCATGTAGTGTAGGCCCTCGAAAGTATAAAACAAAAACGAAATGTAGATCTGTATTTAAATCAAATTGATTTCTGTGATATCGTTTATGCAGTCTGATTAAGATCATCTTTTGGCGCCATATTGTCCGGTCAGAGTTGATATATATAATTATTATTTTGTTAATTAAAATCATACCGAGTTTTCGTTCTGTTTTTTTTTTAGTCCATGTTGTCTTATTATCCACGATCAGTAAAACCACTGTTTGTTATGTATCTATCCGATATCTAGTCTCGGTCACCCAGAACCTCCTAGTCTTCAACATACGGAGGGTCTGGGAAGGTTGTCAATATTTGACGTAAAGTCCATTGCCCATGGGTAACCGGGAGTTTGGTTTTTAATGTAGTTGATTATCCAGTCTCTTTAGCCAAGTCAAGTAAGAGTTGCGCCCCTTCCCACAATAAATCCCATAATTCTTGCATTAATATAAACAAACATGAATGGTGACGACGAATTAGGATTAATTTTAAAAGCATAGATATGGCCCATGAAGAAAGAAATTTTACAATAAAAAATTAAGAGTGTTAGATATTGAACTCGCATGCAATCAAATGGATTTTTTGAAATGACATTCTTAAATTAATTTCATGGACGTAAACATCTTGTTTTAAGAGGAGTTACCCCCCTTAGACATTGTTTATGAAAATGTGAAAGACCGGATTATCTAGTCAATTATTCTCAAAGGTTGACAACCGGTCCAGACTAATATTCGTAGAATATTTTTCTGGATGATAGAGACTATCCGATATCAGTCTACCAATGCCAATGCAATGTCATGATTTCCGAATGGGTTTAAAAGGCTTTGATGATCGACACATTTTTTATCAATAACCCGTTGGAATCAAATAACATTTGACTTTAATTAATGTGGTGGAAATGAAATGAATCCTTTTGAAAAAAGCATATCTAAACACAATTTTATTTTCATTTGAAACTGGATAAAAGATTGATCAATAATTCTTGAAATTCATTTTGATTCATCGTCGCACTTGTAATGCAATATCATTTGGGATCTAAATTTTATTATTGTATTTTGAATTCATATTTTAAATTATATTTTACTGGAATCGAGTTAAGAGTATCCTAATTGAGAGATATAACTCATAAATATTCACACGGTATATTCGGTTTTATCTCTTATATTTTTTTTGTTTTGTCTATATATATATTTGGCCCCGGGTTTTACGGGAGAGATTTTATTTGTGTTAACCCCAATAATGCCCGATATGTTACGGGAAAAGTTTTATGTGAAATTCCTATAAGTTGGGATTGGTTTTGCCCCGGGTTTTACGGGAGAGATTTTATTTGTATTAACCCCAATAATATGCGATTGGGAAGCCCGAGATGTTACGGGAGAGTCTTATGTGAAATTCCTGTAAGGCGGAATTGGTTTCACCCCAGGCGGGTCTTGCTCGGAATTAAGAGCGAATATGATGTATTGTTTCAAAAAATATAGAGATAAAACCACTGTTAATTTTGATAGGTTCTTTCCAAAATATCTTATTCATTATAATTTAGCTTGAAGTAGAGCAATGTGACCTCCTACTTTCAATTTGGTTTATGTCAATTCTCATGTAAATATTTTAAAATAGTCTGTTCCACTTACTAATTTGATTAACAGTTAATTGAGTTCACTCCGTAATA